AATGAATTGAGTATACTTAGTGTGTTCAGTTGATTGTATCTTGCCATCTTGTGGCATCTAGGATCATGCCTAAAAGTTTTACCTATGCTGGTGGGATTCACTGAGTTTTGTCCAAAATAAGGATCATAGGCATCACCTTTATTATAAGTATCTGGGCCTGGAGAAATGTCTCAGTGGTGAAGAGCACTTGCTGCTCTATCAGAGAATCTGGGTTCAATTCCCAGCATCCACATGGCAGCTCACAGCTGTCTATAACTCCAGTTCCAAGGGATCTAACACCCCCACATCAAAGCATATAAAACAATTAAATGAACTATTAAGTGTCCAATTTGGCAGGTCCTTTATTTCCCAGTAACAGTGTAAAATCCAAAAATGTTTTCTTATATTAATAGTTTGTTTTAGCTCCATGGTGGGTAGAATTTTTCTTGTTCTTCTAGCCCATGATTCCTATTCTGTTGAGATACCTATTTCATAGTCTAGTTCTTTTCTGTTTTCTCTTCTGTACTTTTTTTTTCTTGAATAGTTTGCCTTCTCTGGTTATTATATTTTAATTATCTACATGTGTGGAGTGGGGTTCTACTTTTTGAGTTTGGGTGCCCCTAGAGGCCAGCCAAGTCAGATCCCCTGGAGCTGGAGTTAAAAGGTTGTAAGCTGCCCTGTGGGAGTTCTGGAAGAGCAGTATGTGTTCTCAAACACTGAGCCATTGCTCCAGCCCCTCCTGTTCTGTTGTACCTAGTAGTAGTATTTGTTCCCTCAGTGCCCATTTGGTATTTTACTTCCCCTACATAGTGTGAACAGCATTCCTTGTCACCAGCCCATGCCGTCTATGAGATCTGAAGTGGAAGGTCTTACCTAGAGAGGTAATGTGTTACCTTTTGAAACTGACTTTCGTTTTCCTTTTCTTTATCTTCCCATTTTCTTTTTTGTGGGTGCTGGGGATCAAACCTAGACCCTTACACATGTTACACATGTGTATAACATGGCACAGATACATCCCCAGCCCATCTTGTTTTTACAGCTAAAATAATACATTTTGTGACTGTATCTGACCCTTTCTGTTTGCATATTGGGGGGCATCTGGGTTGCTTGACTTCTCTTTTTTTTCATGTTTGTAGCAGCTTTTTAATTTATTTTTATATTAATTACAGTTTATTTGCTTTGTATCCCAGCTGTAGCCCCTCCCTTATTCTCTGTCAATCCCATCCTCCCTCCCTCTTCTCCCATGCCCCTCTCCAAGTCCACTGATAGGGGAGGTCCTTCTCCCCTTCCATCTGACCCTAGCTTATCAGGTCTCATCAGGACTGTCAGCATTGTCCTCCTCTGTGACCACCGCAGGCGGAGGTGAACAAAGAGCCAGCCACAGAGTTCATGTCAGAGACAGTTATGAATGAGGTTGGACCTGTGGAGAGATGGCTCAGTGGTTAAGATCACTGACTGCTCTTCAGTGCACCAGGATTTAATTCCCAGCACCCACATGACAGCTCCTAGGAGAGCCATCACTCTCTTCAGGGCTCTGAGAGCATTGTATGGCTGGCCTTGAACTCAGAGATCTGCCTGCCTCCATCTCGAGTGATGGGATTAAACACTTGTTAATTTTTAATGAACTTCCACTTATCAATTATTTCTATCATGGATCATGCTTTTGGTGGTGTTTCTAAAACTAAGAACAGCATGACAGCACACATCTGTAATTAGAGCACTGAAGGAGATAGAGAAAGTCAGGAGTTTAAGGTGACCCTTGGATACAAAGCAAGTTTGACACAACCTGGGCTACATGACACCTTGTCTCATAAATAAAATCAAAATCCAAACCTCTCACTGCCAAACATAGGTTTGCTCCTATATTATCTTTTAAAAATTAGATCGTTTTATAGTTTACATTTAGGTCTGTGAGCCATTGCTTTTACAGTTAGTGTTTAAATGTTATCTTTTTACATGTGAATTTTTAGTTTTTCTAGAACTGTTTGTTGAAAACACTGGCCTTTCTATATTGAATTGCCTTTCGTCATTTGTATATTTGCATGGGTGTTACTACTTTACACATTTTCATTTCCTCATTGAAGAGCTTTAAGTTTTCTGGATAGCTTCATTACAAATTGAAAGTTGAGTACAGAGGAGACAGATGAAAAATAGATTTCTATTCTCATAGAATGTGTTTTTTCCTTCATTGAAGTCAGTAATAAGTATGTGTTTATCCTTAAGAGATGAGCATATGTATTTTAGGGTATGTCCTGGGCTTTGTAGACCAGGCTGGCACCCACCTGCCTCCAGAGTGCTGGAATTAAAGGCATGTGCCATCACACACAACGATTTTTGTTCTTTGCTTTTGAGAATTTCTTTTTTTTTTTTTCCCTGAGACAGGGTTTTTCTGTGTAACTGTCCTGGCTGTCTAGGAACTCACTCTGTAGATCAGGCTGGCCTAGAACTCACCCGCCTGCCTCTGCCTCCATGGTGCTATAATTAAAGGTATATGCCACCACACCCAGCTTTCTCATTTATTTGTTTATTTTTTTATTACAGTCTTCTTGTTGAAATGACTTTGGTAGAATTTTTCATACATGCAAAGTGTTTTGTTTTGTTTTTTTCATGCAAAGTGTTTTAAATGCTGTTGGTGTCTGCTGCGGAGATTGATCTAACTTGTTCCAGGCTGACTTGGCCAAACTTTAATAGAGCAAATGTAATATTTGCAGAGAAAGGGAAAGGTATCTGAGTTTGGGGCCAGTCAGACCTACATAGGAAGAGCCTATCTTAGAAAACAAAACAAAAGAAAACCAAAAACTCGACAGAATTAAAAACAAGCGTGACCTTTTCCACTCGTGTTAGTTCAGCATCCCCTTCTTATGATATTAAAGCAATTAAAGTAAAATCAAATGTGTGTTCTTTATTTCTCTTCTCAAGCTTTTTATGATTTGGGGGGCAAAAAAGTGTCAAGTCAGCATAATGTCATAGAGTCACTGTTTTTGTAATGATAGAGGAAGTTGCCATTAAAATTATTCATAAAACTTAATGGAACAAGTTGTAAATAGTTCACTTTTTGGAAGGAGTGTTTATATGTGTACACATATAAAAATTCAGGTAGCTGAAAGAGAAAAAAACATTTGCAGTGAAGCACCAGAATCTCTTGTACACAGTCCTTAGACTCTAACAAGTGATAAGTTATACTGAGTGAATAAGCATGTTCTTCTGTTTGATGTATAGCCTTTGACAATTCCTGTTAATTGTAATACCATAATTTTACATGTCTTTCTGACTTTACTGGACAGCCATTTCCTTCAGCATTGGGACTGGGCCTGTTTATCTGTGTGTGGACAGTATTACTTAATTCTAGAAGGATTTCATTAGAGACACATACCACTAAAAGTCATTTGACTTACCTTGACAACTAATCTGCTGTAAGAATTTACTTATTCCACCCGTTCCATATAAATGAAATCATATCTGCATTCTTTTACTTAGTCTTAGGTTTTCAAGGATTACCCACATTGTGACACATGACTCATTTTTGTGGCTAATAGTTGGTGTAAAGAGATGGATTTTTTTCAAACTTGGACCTGCATTGTTTATCATGATAATATCTATCATGGAGGGTGTGAAGTAGTTTTGTGGGTTTGGTTTGCATATCTCTAGTGATGAATGATACTGAGCATCTTTTCATGAGTTCATTTCTAACTGTATGTTGTACTTGGAGAGGCATTTTTTAAAAATTTTATTTTATTATTTATATAATACTCTGCTTGCATATACACCTGCACGGCAGAAGAGGGCACCAGATCTCATAGATGGTTGTGAGCCACCATGTGGTTGCTGGGAATCAAACTCAGGACTTCAGGAAGAGCAGACAGTGTTCTTAAACTTTGAGCCATCTCTCCGACCTCTGGAGAGGCATTTTTTTTTTTTTAAAGCTCAATATTGATGGCCTGCTAGCTATCATGCTACTGTTTAGCCTTCTTGATCTGAAGCAAAATAGGGTTGGTCTATTGATTGTTTAATTTAGGTTATTTTTTTTTTTTAAAGTATTGTTATCTTTAACGAGGTATATGTGTGCATAGGTTTCTGCATGTGCCACTGGAATAGGGTGTTGGATCCCCTGGAGCTGGGGTTACTAGTAGTTGTTAGCCATCTCATGTGGGTACTAGGAACTGAACGTGTGTCCTCTGCAAGAACAGTGCTTGCTTTTAACTGCTGAGCTATCTCTCCTACCTACGATTGAGGCTACTATTGAGAGAGTTTTACAAATTTAATTTTAGTGAAATTTCTTCTCAATGAAAAAATTCTCTTTATATTTGAATGTCCTTTTAAAATTATGTATGTATTCACTTTAAAAATATTTTTACTTTTAATTATATGGAGGTGTGTATCTGCATATGGTTTTGTGCGTATGAGTGTTGTTGTACAAGGACAGACATCAGAGCCTCTGGAGTTGGAGTTAACAAGTAGTTGTGAGTTGTTTTACACAGGTACTGGGAACTGAAAGAGTAGTATGTACTGTTAAGCATGGAGCTGTATTTCCAGCTCTTATTTGAATGTCTTTAAATGTTCACACTCTTAAGAGTTACACTAGATATTTAGTAGGTCTAAATTGGTCGTTTTTATTGTGAATTTATATCTCTGGGCTTAGAGAGGTAGCAGAAATAAAATTCAGCTGGGTGTTGTGGTGGATGCCTTTAATCCCAGAAGTAGAAGCAGAATTACCTCTGAGTTTTGGGCCATCCTGGTCTAAAGAGTTAAGTTTCAGGATAAACAGGGCTACACAGAGAAACCCTGGCTAAGAAAACAAACAAATCCTCTAACTTCACATGTTGGAAGCACAGTAATTTATTACAACTTTGTTATATTCTGTGCATTCGAAGAATATCAGCTAATCTTGAGTTTGGAGAAAGAAAAGTGTATGCTTTGAAAAGCAGCTAAGACTAGAAGTCACATTCTCCATGTAGGTAGCAGTGACTGGTAGAGAGGAAGGAAAAGTGCATGATTTCATCTTTGTATCCCTCTTTTGACAGCGTGGTACCATGCGACGTCGCTATGAAGACGATGGCATTTCAGATGATGAAATTGAAGGGAAAAGAACTTTTGACTTGGAAGAGAAGCTCCACACCAACAAATATAATGCTAATTTTGTTACCTTTATGGAGGGAAAAGGTCAGTATGAATTTAGCATCTGTGTAATTTTAAAATACTGACTGTTAAAGATATTTTGTTTCAATTCTCATTCTCCCCTAAATTTTAAGTAGTCTTTTATTAGAATAAGAATGTTACTGGGGAAAGACATTTTCCTTTTCTCATTTATTGGCTTGGTTTTAATTAAAAATAGTGCAGGTATGGTGACACATGACTGTGATACTAGCGCTTTGGAGGTAGAGACAGGAGGATCAGGAATGGTGTGTATATATAATAAGTTAAAGGCAGCCTGGGCTGCATGAGACTTTGGAGAGAAGGAGAGTGAGAAGCATATAAAAAAAAAGTACAATGAAATCTCTTATGAGGTAGAATTCCTCTTGTGTTATGTACGATCCTTAGCAAACTGACAAAAAGTTGTATGTATAATGTTCAGACTATTTTGGCTATTAAGAGAATGAGGGTAATTTCCATAGGATGTATGAAGTGACTCATTAGCACTGCTCCCCACACACCCTGATTGTCAGTGTGCTTTCCGTATTTCCTGAGATATAACACTAAGCAGTTTGACCACAACTGTATGCACAGTGTAATAAAAACAATCAATACCTTTTTACTTAAAATTTCTTTTATAATCTTTTTTTTTTTTTTCAATGATTCCTTTCTTTCTAATTTTCCCCCCTATGGTTTCAGATTTTAATGTAGAATATATCCAGCGAGGTGGCTTGAGAGACCCTCTGATTTTCAAGAATTCTGATGGACTTGGAATAAAGTAAGTGCTCTGGTCCTGGCCTGAGATGGTAATGGCTTTTACCCTCAGGGACTCAGATAGTGGCAATAGAGCAGTAGGTAATTGAAAATAACTTGCAAGTTACTTTGTGAAGTATGTCTCTTGTTTCACAAGTGATTCATGTTCCCAGAAATGAAAAGTGTAGATAAGCTTAAAAGGTTAATGTCTTGACTCTATCATTTTGAGATAATTGCTGCTAACATTTTTGTTTTTCTGCATATAATGTATGTGTGTAAAATTAATATACATTTAAAAAGTATTTAAACCTAAACATAAAGATTGATGTTTCTTGAGAGTTTGTCCTACTTTAAGAAAAGATTCATACTGAATAGAGAAGCAGTGCTTCTCATTTACTGGTGTTTATTTCATAGGATGCCAGACCCAGATTTCACGGTGAATGATGTCAAAATGTGTGTGGGTAAGTAACAAACTTTTGGCCTCTTTATCTTTGAGGTTTAGGAACGTTAAACTGTGTATTTCATTACAAAGAGAACTGTTTGATTAGCAACTAAGAATTTTCCTCTATCAAAGTACATTTTTAAAAAACAACTATATATGGAGGAAATTAGAAAGTATATATGTTCAGGAGGAATTTTTCTCAAAGGCAAAAATTTTTATAATTTAGTCCATCTAAAACCTAGATATGGGAAGTAACTGTTACATTCTGTGATAAGACAATGAAATGGTATAAAGTCTTCCATGTTCCCAACATACATACAAAGCAAAAGAAATTCATCTGACCAGCTATTCTCTAGTATACAAAAGTGCTATTCCTCAGTTTGGAAATTAAATACTATAGCACCACCTTTTGGCCATGTGGACCCTTGTTAGACTGCTGGATAAACTTCCTTAATCTTGAGAGGTGAAAGTCACAGATACCCTAAATTCTCTGATCCCTATATTACTCATGCCCTAATGCTCTTGTATTATATTCTAAGCACCTGATACCTAGCACAACTTGTAGACTAAGTGCCCACTAAATCTGTTGAGTGATCAAAACCCTTACTTGTTCCTTTCAGGCAGAGCTTTTAGGAGGCGTAGATAATCTGTGAGTACTCACCATTGTAGAAATTCACTTCTTACCACTTTTTATTTTTGTTGTTGAAGTTCATGTATACTAGGCCAATCTCAAACTCGCTGTGTAGCCCAAGATGACCTTATACCAATTACCTACCTGTCCCCTCCTTTTGAGTGCTGCAGTTACAGGCATTTGCCACTATACCTAGCTTTTGTGGGGCTAGGGATCAGATCCAGGGCTTTGTCCATGCTACGTAATCATTCTTTTAGCAACTGAGTTATATCTTCAGCCTCTCATTTCTTAGGTAACCTTTAGGAAAGTAATTTCCTGTGTTGGCTTTTAAGATTTACTTTTATTTATTTTCCTAAGACAGGGTTTCTTTGTAGCTCTGGCTGCTGTCCTAGAACTTGCTTTGTAGACCAGACTGGCCTCAAACTCCTAGATCTGCCCCCAAGTGCTGGGATTAAAGGGATGCACCACCATCACACCTAGTAGATTCTTACTCTGTAGTGATATGTATGTGTATGGTACCCGTGAGTACATGGAGGTAAAAGGGGTTGGATCCTCTGGAGTTAGAGGTTGTTGTAAGTCACCTATATTCTGAAAATAGAATTTGGGTCTCTGAAAGAGCAGCTGTGCTCTTTACTGCTGAGCTTCTCTCTAGCCTCTTGCTTAGATATTCTTATGGTTGTGATTCAAAATTACCTCCACAGGAATTATCTGTGATAAAGTACAGACTCAGAGAAGATTCTGGAAGATGGTGAGAGCATTCTCTACCTACATGATTATTGCCCTGAGAGAGTCTGATGTAACTGTTGAGGAATTCTGTTGAAGGCTTGCAACTTCCAGGGAGAAATTAAGAAAATAAAGTTAATTTCAGGTTTTACCATAGTAATCTCTTTTCCACAGCCTCCATCCTTCACCAACTGGAACCCATGAAAAAGTTGTGCATATCTTTTCTAAAAGCACAATGCATAGCACACTGCTTTAAGGAGCCAGGATGGGTCTTGTCATTTAAAAATGTGAGACTTGTGCTGTGATCACAGATTGCCTTTTCTGACAAAATGTATGGACAAAAGAGTAGGGGCCTGTTTTTAATGCCATCTCTAAGCTGTTACTATATCCTTACATTTGACCCAGAGACTCCTATAGGATTTAAAAGATTGGTAAACCACCACGATTGGTACAGCATTTCTGAGTTGGAAGCCAACCTGATCGCAGAGAGCGAGTTCCAGAACAGCCAGGGCCACACAGAGAAACCCTGTCTCAAGGGGAAAAAAAAATCTGGTAGACTCCACCCCCTAAACACTTATTCAAAACTAGGATATTCAAAAGTTGTATACATGGCAAAAGTTAGATGTTGACTACGCATGTTCAGGAGGAAATGCAGGCTTAAAAAACATGAGAGGAGGGGCTAGAGAGATGGCTCAGAGGTTAAGAGCACAGACTGCTTTTCCAGAGGTCCGGAGTTCAATTCCCAGCAAACACATGGTAGCTCACAACCATCTCTAACGAGATCTGCTGCCCTCTTCTGGCGTGCAGGCAGAACACTATATACACAATAAATAAATCTTTAAAAAAAAAAAAAAACATGGAGAGGAAGCTCAGACTTTGTAAAGCGCTTAGGAGAATTAAAATAAAAGCTAAAATAGCATACATGGTACACTGACATACATGCAGGCAAAACACCCATACAGAGAAAACAATAAGATTTTAAAAAAACTCTCTTAGTTTGCACTCTCTTACATCTTCTTCTAGTATTTTTGACTTTACATTATACAGGTAGGTTAATGATACATTTTGAGTTATTTTTATACATGGCACATAGTATGAACCCAAGTTCACAGGTAGAAATGGATATCTCAGATCTTAGTATGCTTTGTGGGAAAGGCAACTGTTTATTCAATAAAGCTGCCTTTTGCCATTGTCAAAATCAGTTCATGAAGACTTCATTCAGGGCTCTGTGACAGAGCTCTTGCTTAGTATTCATGGAGCCCTGGGTACAATTCAACTTAGAAGAAAAATAAATCAATTGTATATAAGCGATTTAGGTAGCTTTTTTTTATTATCATTTATTCAATTTGTATCCTGGCAATGGGCCCCCTCCCGGGTCTCCTCTCAATCCTGCCCTCTCTCCCTCTTCTCCCCCATGCCCCTCCTCTAGTCCCCTTCTATTTGACACTAGCCTATCAGTTCTCATCAGGACTGGTTGCATTGTCTTCCTCTGTGGCCCTGGGGTGGGGGAGGTGATCAGAGAGCCTGCCACTGAGTTCATGCCAGAGAAAGCCCTTGTTCCCCTTATTAGGGACCCCAGTTGAATGCAGAGTCTATGGACTACATCTGAACTGGGGTTTTAGGCCTCTCCATTCATTGTCTTTGGTTGGGGTATCATTCTTTTCAGGGCCCCCTTTAGGTAACTTTTTGCTTATCAGACTTCTCATCTTTAAAGATCAAGATGGAAAACCTAATTTTCTGAAGAAAACAAACAAAAAAACTCAGGTTTTTTTATGTAGTTATTGTATCTTGCATTCTTCGTCAATTAAAAAAGTATTTGTGCATTAACTATGAAAAAAAAAAAAAGGAAATCCCAATATTTAAGAGGGCAAGAGAACATGAGTTCCAAGCAATCTGGGCTACATGACTTTCTGCTGTTCTGTTATAGCAGCATAAAAGCAGACAGGAGATGAAAACATGTAGGAGAGCATGAAGCAGACCAGTGTACATTGTGGGAATATTAGAAGAGTCCTCACTGCTCTTTAGAGATCCCGAGTTTTAAGTACCTGCAACCACGTGGTGGCTCACAACTATCTATAATGTGATTTGAAGCCCTCTTTGAGCATGCAAGTGTACATGAAGATGTAGCACTCATATAAAAAAAAAAAAATACAATCTTTAAAGAAAAAAGAGAAAATATTTGAAGAAATAACTGCTGAAATTTTTCCATAGTTGGTGAAAGACATGAATAAAAATATCCAGAACGCACAGCCTCCTACCATGACATGCTAAAACCAAACATTTCAAAAGCTAAAGACAAAAGTCTTGAAGGCATCAAGGGAGAAGTTGCTCTTCACATAAAGGGGGTTCCTCAGTGAGATATGAACAGAGACTTTGGAGGTGGTAAGGATTAAAATGGTGAGGGGAGGAGGTTGGGGAGTTTTAGAGAGTTGGCTCGCAGATAAGAGCTTGGTATTGATCTTACAGAGGACTGACCCGAGTTGGTTCATAGCACTCACATATGGCGCAGCAGCCTTCTGTAACTCTTAATTTCAGAGCATCTCATGGCCTATATTCTGGCCTTCAAAGCCACCTGTGCTCATTTGTACACACCCTGCTATTCAAGTACCTCACTCCCCCATTTCCCCACCCCGACACACACACACATACAAAGTTTTTGTTGTTAATGTTGCTGATGTTTTAGCTGATAGGAAAAAAGTACACCAAGAACTGCAAATTTTTAAATAGGAGGGAGGGAGAAGCTAAGATATTCCTAGATAAAATGATAGTTAGGGAAGTTAGTTACACTAGACCTGTTCTACAGTTAGGGGTGTCTTGGTGCAATGGAGAGATGAGATATGAAATGAAAGAGGAGATAGTGACTTGAAGCCATGTGAAGAAGAAAACACAATAAAGGTGATCTTTAACTCACTGGCAAGATAGCTCAGTGGTAAAGGCACTTTCCAAAAATGTCTGACCACCTGAGTCTAGCTCCTGGAGCCCATGTAGTAGAGGAAAACTAGTGGAAGAGAGCCACCTCCAGAAAGCTGTCCTCTTGACTTCTACTGAGGTGCTGTGGCATGGGCACCCCTGCAATAAATTAAAAACGGTAATTTAAAAATGTCAGTAGCTTGTTAATGCTTTTCTTGAATTTCCACAAGTACGAATAAGTTGGAAGGCTGTGTATGGTGGTTTGTTTCTCTTAAATGTGAAGTATACAGAAAGTGGGTGGAGAGATGTTTCACTGGACCTGGGTTTGGTACCCAGGACCCACCTGGTAGCTCATAACCTTCTGTAACTCCAGTTCCATAGCATCTAACATCTTCTTCTGACCCCCACAAGTATCAAATGCATGTGGCACCACAGACTTACATTCAGGCAAAATGCTCATACACACACACACACATCATGGGTTAGGGGGAAGGAAAAGAAAATCATTATCTGGTAAACCTCTCTGTTTCCCTCTCCTTCCTCTCTCTTCCTTCCTCCTCCCACTCTCCCTTTGTGGTGTGTGTGTGTGTGTGTGTGTGTGTGTGTGTGTGTGTGTGCGCGCGCGCGCGCGCATACATGAGTACAAGTGCCCAAGGAGGGCAGAGGCATCAGATCCTCTTGAACTGGAGGTACAGGTATTTGTGAACAACTCCTGATAACATGTGTGTGTTGGAAATTGAATTCAGGTTCTCTGTAAGAGAACTCTTGACTTCTGAGCAATCTCTCCAGTCTCATTTTTTAAATTGTAATTAGTATACTATGAAAATTAACATTATAATCACCGAAGTGTACAGTTAGTGGCATTAAATCTATTTGCTGTGTAGCCATCACCACTATCTACTTGGAGAACTTTCTAATCACCCCAAACGAAAGTCTGTTAACCAGTCATGTCTCATTCTCTTTTCCCCGTAGCCTCTGGCAACCACTGATCTGATGCTTTCTAGATCTGTGTACTTCACATATCTGGAATTACATGATATATAACCTTTCATCTCTGACTTCTCTCACATATCATACTTCCCAGGTTTATTTTTGTGATATCTTTTGTTAGTGTTTTATTCTTACGATGATTTTATTGTATAATTTTTCATTTTTTTGTTTACTATTCATCTAGTGATGTATTTGGAATTATTTTAACCTTTGATCATTTAGCCTGTTTTCTGATGTTATCTGGGCAGTGCTTGCTCGTTCTTTGTCTCTTTTTTTACAGTCAGGATATCACTATGTGTCATAGGCTTGGAACTATGTAGAGTAGGTTGCCTCAAATTTATAGAAATTAGCCTGTCTCTACCCTACTGACTGCTGGAATTAAAGGTGTGTACAAACACACTGTATTTTGTTGTTATGCTTGACAGAGACTGGAGCTTGTATCTATCAGATTGTAAATATGGAATAAATAAAAAGAGTTTTATATTTAAAAATTATTGACAGTGTTGAAGAAACAAACTCTGTTAAACTAAAAATAGAGAAATTTAAACTGGCATTCACTAACTAGAGAATCTTTAAACTACTCCTTAAACTACTACTCTAATCCTTAAACTACTACTCTAACCCCCCTTTAGATAGGGTTTCTCTGTATAGCAGAGCCCTGGCTGTCCCTGGAACTTCCTTCGTAGATTAGGCTGGCTCAAACTCCCGGAGATTTGTGCTGGTATTAAAGGCATTGCAGCTCTTAACTCACATTCTTGATTGATACTCAGTTAGGTCAGTCTTTAAACCTTCACTGAAACAGTATTATCTCAGTAAGTCTTCTGACTTGTTGAATCATGTATGAAAAATACTGACATCAGGTAGAATTGTAGGATTAGTTGAGTGACATGGTGCACACCTGTAATCCCAGCACTCAGGGAGGCAGAGGCATGTGGATTGCTGTGAGTTCAACCTGGTCTACAAAGTGAGTCTAGGACAGCCAAGGCTACACAAAGAAAACCTTGTCTTAAAAACAAGAAAAACACAATTGTTTTTTGGGGCTTATGTTTATGTTATGCTTAATGTATTTAAGAGTAATTGTGGCTCATTTGAACTTCTTTCATATAGGGAGTCGTCGAATGGTGGATGTCATGGATGTGAACACACAGAAGGGCATTGAAATGACCATGGCTCAATGGACACGATACTATGAAACCCCAGAGGAGGAGCGAGAAAAACTCTATAATGTCATCAGCCTAGAGTTTAGCCACACCAGGCTTGAGAATATGGTACAGCGACCTTCCACGGTTAGTCATTGTCATTTTCCCACAATCTCATTTTTTCTTTTTTTAACTATTTATTGATTCTTTGTGAGTTTCACATCATGTACCCATTTCACATCCCTTCCCCATCCCCTCCTATTCATCCTTTGCCCTTGCAACCTCTTTCCCAAAATAAGACACAAAATAAAAACAAAAGCATAGAAAACATTTGTGGAAGCTGTAGTATGTCACAGTGTATTCTACAGTATATCGTTCTGTTCACTTACAAACGTTCATTGCAGTGAGTCATTGGTCTGGTTTGAGGTCTCTGGCTTCTGTGCCGCCATCAATCAATTTATCTTGTTGCCCTGTGTCATAGAAATCCTGCAGCTTTGGAACAGCAAGACTGGCCCTTTCACTCATCCCAATGGTTTGCAGATGATGTACAGCCCTGGGACTGGGCCTTTGTGGTAGCTGAGCTGGTCAGCCCACTGGCTCTTCTTATTTGCATCACTAGGGTGAGCTCTCCAGCACTGCTTTTGCTAGGCTACCAAATGCTGTCATCAGCAGGAGGCAGGCTCAGCTTTCCTACTTTCATCTCTTGGGCCGACTCACCTGCACCCACACCTCCATTGCCACCTCCACTATGCTGCTGCTCAGTGAAGGTGAAGGGCCCATTCTCCTAAGTGAGAGGGGTTAGCTGTGTCCACTCTCACTCCTGGTGCTGGCTCACCCATGCCTTTGCCATCAGGGCTAGCATCACTGTTGCCCAGGTGAGGTGCAGAGCTAGCTCTCACAGGGTCAGCTCTCCTGACTACTACAGGTGTCAGGAGCCAGGGTGCAGCATCACCACTGCATCCATACCACCTCACAGCAGACAAGTGATAGGGACCAGCTCTCCCCCTCTTTCCCGTGGGACTGGCTGTGCCCCCGCCACCAGGATCAGCTCTACTGTGCTGTCCAGGCAAGGTGCAGGGCCAGCTCACTCTCTTATGACACCAGAGGCAGGTTTTCCCAATACCACATTCTCATTTTCAATAGAAAGCTGTTTTTTTTTTTTTTTTTTTTTAAATACTTATTTATTATGTATTCAGTGTTCTGCCTGCAGGCCCGCAGAGGGCACCAGATCTCACTGTAGATGGCTATGAGCCACCATGTGGTTGCTGGGGATTGAACTCAGGACCTCTGTAAGAGCAACTGGTCCCTTTACCTCTAAGCCATCTCTCCAGCCCAGTTTTTTTTTAATTATTTATTATTACCTATACAATGTCTGCATGTACACCTGCACGCCAGAAGAGGGCACCAGATACCAGACTTCATTATAGATGGTTGTGAGCCACCATGTGGTTACTGGGAATTAAACTCAGGACCTCTGGGAAGAGCAGCCAGTGCTCTTAACTCTTAGTCATCTTTCCAGCCCAGCCCCAGTTAGAAGGCCTTTATACTGGGAAAAATTTTATAGCTTTGCACATGCCAAGCTAAATGGGGGAAAGATTATTGGATAATAGTAATTTCATTTTTAGAAGATAACATTTTCCAAAATGATTCAATTTTTGTTGGAATCATTCTGATTTATATCACCAACAACTTAACTTGAGAACTTGACCTTTCAGTGGTAGAGAAGAATCTTAAAATGTTACTAGGAAATTTACTTAGGAATTTCTGTCCTGTAGGTTTCTGTTCTAAGAATTCAAGGGAATTTAGTTGGTGTTGGGAGTGTGTGCCATATTTGATGGCATAGGCCTTCAATCCTAGCATACAGGAGACAGAAGCAGGCGAATTTCTTGAGTGTGAGCATGGTCTGCATGACAAGTTTCAGGACAGCCTGTGCTGCAGAAGAAAGACTCAGTCCCAAAGATAAAATAAAAAACAGAAATTAAGGGAAAATTGGTTTAGAGCAAGGCACATTTTGTGCGCCCCTGACTCTTCTACTTCTCCAGGTGAGCATTTATGTAACAGGTTGTAGAATTTAGTAAGTAAATAATAGTGATAAATGAGTTATTTGTTTTTGATACTCTACTCTTGAAATTAATTTCTATTTTACTTATCTTTTGGTAAGGTAGCAGCTATCTACTCAATATTGGGAACTATTCAGGAAATGGAATTGGCTTCACTTTTGGAATGTACCTATATATTTTTGAGTCTTTCCTCCCTTAATTCCTGACTGTGAACTCAAGCCAGGTATTGTGGTTCCAACTACTTGGAAGACTAAGGGAGAGGGTCCTAATTATACCCTTTGATTCCCAAAATTAATATGTGCTAATTGCTTATAATATCTTTATATAGATACACACCTAATAATTTGCAGTATTATCACTATTTGTATGGGTAGGAAAAATAACTCAATATTTTGCTAGTCTGATGAATCAGGATTTTTGTTTTTGTTTTTGTTTTTTAAGGTTTTTGGAGACATGTTCTCTCTTTGTCACTGTGGCTTTCCTGGAACTCACTATGTCGACCAGGCTGGCCTTACGCTCAGAGAGCCACCTGCCTCTATTTCCCTAGTGCTGGGATTAAAGGTGTGCACCCAGCTTTTGTCATTTGTGTATTATTGGAGGTATTCAGCTAAAAGCAGAAATTTTCATGAAAATGTGCTCCTTTCCCCCCAAGAATGACAATAATCTTTTCTATATTAGTTAGTATAGTTTTGTTTGGGCATATAGAAAGGATCGTAGGTTAGAATTTAGCCATAGTAGCCCAGTGCAGTTCAACTTTTATTTTTTTGTGACAGGGCCTTTGGAGACTTGGGACAGGTCTCTATGTAGTATAGTGCTGGCTATCCTGGTTGGGTTTAAAAGATGATTGACAAAGACTTATTTGAAGAAGAAGCTATCAACAATGGAATCACTTTTTAGTTAATTTATGTTGGGGCAGACAGGGTCTCACCCATTTGGTAGCCTTGGCTGTCCTGATACTATGTAAACCAAGATGGTTTTAGGTTTACAGAGATACATTTGCCTCTGTCCTCAAGTGGCATGTGTTTCTAATGATTTTTAATAATGTTCATTTTTGATAAAGAATTCAGTAAAAAACAAAAAACAAAACAACAACAACAACAAAAAAAGAGATGAAGCCAAAGCCTGCTGGTCCATACCTGTAATCCCAGCTTTTGGGAGGTAGAGACAGGAGGGTTGCCTGAGTGATAGAGTAAGCTTTTGTCTCAAAACAATAGAAAGTAATGTGAGAATTATAGTAACATTGGTTATAAATATATTTCTTTAATATCTCTAGAATTATAATTTAAAGTTGATTATGACTATAAATATAGCTTGATTATTTAAAATTATTAAAAATTATTTCCTAATTTAAAAATTAGAAACCTTTTATCTCAGGTTTGTTTGTTTGTTTGTTTGTTTGTTTGTTTTTTCAAGACGGGGTTTTTTTTTTTATAGCGCTGGCTGTCCTGGAAAATAAGTCTGTAGATCAGGCTGCCCTCAAACTCACAGAGTTCTACCTGCCTCTCCTTCTGGGTGCTCACTGGGACTGGAGAGATGGCTTAGTCATTAAGTGCACTGGCTGCTCTTCCAGAGGACCTGGGTTCAATTCCCAGCACCCACATGGCAGCTCATACTTGTCTGTATCCAACACGCCCCCACATACACACACACACACACACACACACACACACACACACACACACACAGATGTACATGCAGTCAAAAGACCAATGCACATAAAATACAAATAAGTAAATTTGGAGAGAAAAAAAGTGTGTGCCACCGACCTCTTGGCTAGTGTTTTAGTTTTGGTTTTTGAGACAGGGTTTCTCTGTGTAGCCTTGGCTGTCCTGAACTCACTTTCTAGAGCAGCCTGGCCTGGAACTAACAGATCTACCTGGCTCTGCCACCCTGAGTGCTGGGATTATAGGCGTGCACCATCACACCTGGCTTGGCTTTTGTTTCTATTATAATTACTATTATTGTAATTATTTTGTGTGTGGGGTTTGGTCCTAGTATTTTGTGTTTTTATTTTTATGTGTGTCTGTTCCAAAAGTCTGCAGAGACCAAAAGAGGGCATTGGGTCCCCTGTGACAGGAATTACAGATGGTTGTGAGCTGCAGTATGGGTGCTAGGAATAGAACACGCAATTTTCTTAACCAACAAATTGTCTTAACAACAACAAATTGTGTTGTGTTTTACCCTGCCACCCCCACCTCTTTTCTTTTCTTTTTTTTCTCCGAATCACACTATGTACACCTGGCTGGCCTGGAACTCAATGATCCTCTTGCTTCTGTCACCTGAGTGCCAGGATTAAAAAGTGTGCACTAAAATGCCCAGCCATTTCAAAGATCCCCCCCCAGACAGAGTTTCTCTGTGTGACTTTGCCTGTCCTGGATTCACTTTGTAGACCAGGCTGGATTTGAACTCAGAGTATTGGGATTAAAGGTGTTTGTTACCAGGTCCAGACATTTTAAAGATTTTAATATTTGTCTAAGTTAGTCATTACACTATCTCTTTGATCTTAAAACTTTGGTAAATCAAGAGCTTATGATTGCTGTAGTTTCTATATCACATACTGGATTTTTTTTTAAATTTTTTTGTTACTTTATTTTGTAAAAATATTTCTAAATGTGTGTGCATGTATACATGATACATATCATGGTACACATGTAAGAGGATTGATTGTCTCTTTTCACTATAAGAGACCCAGAGATAAAACTGTTGTTCTTGTTGCCGTATGCCTTTATTTCTAAGTCATCTTGCCAGCCCAGATCTGTTTATATTTTAGCTACTGTACCAATGAGTTTTCAGGTATCTCCAGGGACTACCTCTTTAAAATGTTATACAAACACAAAGTTTCAACCTATTATACCAGTATTGGCAGAAGAAAGTTCTTAGTTGTAAACTGTCCTTAGTGGGTCTGTTTTGACCAGTGCTGACTTTACAGTCATGTTGATGGAACTGTTAGTCTTCTCTTTTTTAATCTATTTCCAGAATGTTTGTTGTTTGACTCTAAAGCTCACAGATTTTAAAATTTTCTTTTGTGCAGTGTATATTTAAAGGAGTTGTTTTTTCTTTAAAATTCTCTGTAACCACACCACTTTTTTTGCAGCCTAAGTGTCTTTTTCTTCTTTTTTAAAGGTGGATTTCATTGACTGGGTAGATAACATGTGGCCAAGGCACTTGAAAGAAAGTCAGACTGAATCAACAAATGCCATCTTAGAGATGCAGTACCCTAAAGTGCAAAAGTAAGTTGCTCTTGTTTGCTTTCCTTAGCGTTCTGTGGGTATACAATTAATAGAAGGAATAGTCCATCCCTTTCTATCTTTGCTCTGTTCTAAATCATCAAATTGATAGATTATTTAAACAGTGAACTTTATAGTATCAAAAGAAAGAGTACATGAGAAATTACCTATCACTCATCTTATAAGTAGGGAGAAAAGCTGTGTGGTCCTGGAAATGTGACTTAGAAATACAGTTTTTTAGCAAGATACGGTGGCCCGTGCCTGAGGCAGAGGCAGATCTTTTGAGTTTCAAGGCCAGCCAGGTCAAAGTAGCACAGTGAAACTTTGCCTCAGAAACACACACACACACACACACACACACACACACGAAAGAAAACCTACTAGGAATTTGTTAGATGCAAAGTAGAGGGAGTTTCCTAGGAAAAAGAATGTTATTTTGTGGGTAGTTTGTCTTTTTTTTTTCTTTTCTTTTTTGGTTTTTTGAGACAGGATTTTGCTGTATCCCTGGCTGTCCTAGAACTCTTTCCGTAGGCCAGGCTGACCTCTATTCACAGAGATCCACCTGCTTCTGCCTCCCATATGATGGGTTTAAAGGCATGCACCACCATGCCTGGCTGTAGTTTGTCTTTATCAGTGTACTAATGCTGCTGCTTCTCTTTGGGTCAGGTACTGTCTAATGAGTGTTCGAGGCTGCTATACTGACTTCCATGTGGATTTTGGTGGTACTTCTGTTTGGTATCATATCCACCAAGGTGGAAAGGTATGGTCATAGTTAGGATTGGAATTAGACTTGCATGCTTAATATAATCTGGAAACCAGTCTACTAGGAAACGTCCCCAATTCATTCTTGGAGATGGTTGTAGATTCAGTTGCCTTTGTACCATTGGAGTTGTAGTATTTATGTAGGCCAGTGCCATTTAAAGCAGAATTTTCTTGATGAATCTGAAGAGGTAATTCTAGGAGGACAATATCATTCTGTACCTGCAAGAAAAGTAATGTAGAGGAAGGGAACATAAATTTTGGATATATTGATAAAAATTCCAGCAAATTATGATTCAGCCAGTTCTCCCTGTCTGGAGATAATTGGTCTGAAATGTGACCAAAGGAAACATTAAGTCATTTTGAGGATTTGAAAAAGTATTTTTAATCCTAAAGAGTCATATTCTAATAATAATAAAATATATTCTTTCGAGTTTTCCTATACGTTATATCAGAATTGTGGTCTAGAATTAATAGCAGAGGGTTGTAGTGTTAGCCTTTCCTTTACGTGGAAGGACTACATCTACTGGCAAAAGCAGAGCTGGGAGGAAAATAGTACAAGAACTTAACCTTGAACATCTGGACCTCTGTATCCAAACATCCTTTTATTCACGTATGTGTAGATGGCTTCCTAAGTTTTTTCTATTGATCTTAGTTACTACCTTGGCAACAGAGCAGCCCAGGCCAATAATAATTGGCTGTTTAAGCCTCTAGCCCAAGGCCTGTTTTCTCTTGGTATTCTAAATGGGTTCTGGGTTCTTCTACAGCCATAATTTCAGGAAATCCCAGGTGCTGTCAGACCAAGTGATTGGCAAGAAAGATCTGTTTGTTGAGTCCTGAGCTACCCAGATACTTTCTGCTTTGCAATCCTCTATGCGTATCAGTTGAGGGGACGGCTGGATCATGTCAGTGGCTGTTAACAGACTGAAGTCTTTTAACTCACAGGTCTTCTGGCTCATCCCCCCTACAGCCCACAACCTGGAGCTGTACGAGAATTGGCTGCTGTCAGGGAAACAGGGAGACATCTTTCTGGGTGACCGGGTGTCAGATTGCCAACGAATTGAACTCAAGCAGGGCTATACCTTCGTCATTCCCTCAGGTAAGCAAGTGAGGAAAGTAGGTTGCTTTCTAGCACTTAAGAAAACACTGTGTTTTCTTAAGACTGAGTATGCACAGGCTTTGAAATCAATCCCCAGCAAGGCATGCATGTGCAATGATGTTTGCCCGGGTTTTTTTTTTTTTTTTTTTTTTTTTTTTTGAGTACACGCAGCAGAAAAAAAGAACAAAAAAAGAAAACCATAAAAGCTTTGCTTAATTCTGGCAGAGTATATTAGTATTGCCAGTGGTGGCTTTTCATACATACTACATAACCCCAATAATTGAGAATTTTTACTTGTTCTTTCTAATGAAGAGAACCACCTTTCCCCACCTGAGTGGGCAGTGCTAAATCAGTGTTTTTGTGTTTGCTTTTGTTTTTGAGACAGGGTTTCTCTGTGTAGTCCTGGCTGTCCTGGAACTCAGAGATTTTCTGCCTGTCTTCCCAGTGCTGTCGTTAAAGGTGTGCGCCACCAAACTTGGCTAAGTCATGGATATTTTTATTATGTCTTCTAAAATAAGTGCATATAAAAAGGTACAAATTTTGGAGTCCCTGGTCTGTTTGAAAGTACTGACTATGCACTTGCCTGTTCAATACTACTTTGGTCAATACTTAAATCCTCTTATTTTGGAAAGATTACATGAGAATATCAATAAACTGTTCTATTCAGAGCTGATGCATAGTAGGTGCTTCACAGCTTAAGACCATGTCTTAAAAATAAGTAAAAAAAAACCTTTTCCATAGATATATATTGTCATTTAATGTTCATCACCATGTAAAGTACAATTTCATTTTAAAGAGATAAGTCAGGCTTTGAGAAAGAAGTAACTTGAGCACCATTAAATGAGCCTAGACTATGCATCAAGGTCTTGTTTCCAAAAAAGAAAAGAATATAATATGGAAGAAGCCTTACAGTATTCCGAGGGAACTATTGCTTCGTATGCTTTCAGTCCTGCCTTCATTCCCTGTGTTTCAGGTTGGATTCATGCTGTGTATACACCTACAGACACATTAGTGTTTGGAGGCAATTTTTTGCATAGCTTCAACATCCCCATGCAGTTAAAGATATACAGCATTGAAGATCGGACACGGGTGAGTAATTTAATATAATGATTATATATAAAGATGTTTTTCCATTTAAGACAGATGTTAGGTGGGCATGGTACACATGCCTCTAATCTTTGTAGCGCTCAGGGATAGGAAGATTATGAGTTTGAGGTCATCCTGGCCTATGTAACAAAGAAAAAGACAAGTTTAATAACTTTATTTATCAGGTGAGGTGGGTTAGCAGGTAAATATACTGATGCTAAGTTTGATAACAAAGTTAAAGCCCCAGAACACACTTGGTGTAAAGATAGAACTGACACCTGCAGGTTGCCTTCTAACCTTTAATGCATACACTGTTTGTTTCATCTTTTCAATATACTAGATGAATCAGAACAGGATTCATGGATAATTTGTCAATTTTTCAGATCTTTTTTTGCAGGGTTAAAAAGCAGGATTTTTTTTTTTTTTTTTAATTTATTTTATGTAGGTGAGTGCTCTATCTGCTTATACACCTACATGCCAGAAGAGGGCATCAGATTGTTGTGTAGATGGTTGTGAGCTGCCATGTGGTTGTTGGGATTTGAACTCAGAACCTCTAGAAAAGGCAGACAATGCTCTTAACCTCTGAGCCATCTCTCCAGCCCCGTAAAAACAGTTACTACATACTGAGAACACAGCAAAAATTTTTACTGAATTCTTGATTTGGTGGACTGTAAGTCTTAATCTCTTGAACCATGTTTTTTTGTTGTTGTTGTTGTTTGTTTTTGTTTTTGTTTTTTTTTCATTTTTATGCTCATGAATAATTTGTGGAATGAGGATGATTATTTCAAATTTCACAACTTTGAGGTTTTCTGTCTTTATTCTGTTTACTAGCCCTCCCCTTCCCTTTCCCATTTTAAAAACCATAAACATCTTTTTTAAATTAAATTTTATTTCTTTTGTGCATGTATATTGGTTGCTATGCCAAGGCATATAAGTGGAGGTCAGAAGACAACTTGCAGAAGTCATTTCTGGTTTTCACCATTTCCTAGGAATCTAATTGAGGTCATCCAGCTTGACAATAAGCGCCTTTACCCACTTGTAAAGGCCATCTTGTTGAGCCCTTTCCTTCCCATCGTAAGTGTCAGTATTAGTCAGCTCTCACTAAATTTATTGAGAAATTTTTACAATTTATACTTGACCTGAACTACTCAAGAAATTTTCCAAGAAGCACCAACACACTCCAGAGGCCAATGGAGAGGAGCGCAGTGCATTGCTTTAGTTGAAGGAGCCGGTGCCTGTTCTTAGTTCCGTCCTCTCTTCTGTCAGAAATAAGTTGGCTTTTAAGTGAGAGAAGAAGCTTCTGGTTAAAGTTGCAATTGCATTAAAGATCCAGATTTGAGTCTGGTAATGTGCTTCATTGGTTGTATACCTCTTGTCTAACAATAAGAAAGTGATCTGGTGAAAGGTTTTTCCTTTTTATTTTATTTTATTTTTTTTATTTTTAAAGATGTATTTGCAGTGCTTTAATAAATAAAAAAATTAGCATTGAATACATGGATGGAAAATAAATGGAGGAAACCAATCCAGCAGGAGAGTGTAAGATATTTAAACATGAAATTCATGGGCCTTTTTCATTTTAAATTCATGAGGACAGCTGGACATCATAGGGTTATCACATTTGGATTTGATGGTAGCCTTCCTAAAATCGTGGCAGATATAGATGGATAATTTTATTTATTTATTTATTTGTTTGTTGGTTGGTTGGTTGGTTTTTGAGACAGGGTTTCTCTGTATATAATAGCTCTGACTGTCACTGGCTGGTGGGGGCACACACCTTTAATCCCAGCTCTGAGGAGGCAGAGGCAGATAGATCTCTGTGAGTTTAAGGCCAGCTTTATCTACAGAGAGAGTTCCAGGACAGCCAAGGTTACACAGAGAAATCCTGTTTCAAAAAAAAAAAAAAAAACAGCATTAAACCTAAGCAACCAAAAAAACCCAGCCCTGCCTGTACAGGAACTCTCTCTGTAGAGCAGGCTGGCCTCAAACTCACAGAGATCCACCTGCCTCTGCCTCCCAAGTGCTGGTACTAAAGGTGTGGGCCACCATGCCTGGCTAAAGATTTATCTATCTGCCTATGTATTTATCTATCTATCTATCTATCTATCTATCTATCTATCTATCTATCTAT